GAGCTATGAATTGGAATTAGCCCAAGGGCAGTGAGTTTGAGTGTTTGGTTTGGTTTTTTAAATAAGACCACATTTGTTTATTTGTAGTCTAGAATTTGTGTTCTTTTAAACCTTAAGTCTCATATCTTCTCAATACTTTAAAGTTGGCACTGGAGGGATTATTACTAAAGTGTTCAGAGGCAGAACTAACAGGCACAAATAACATGAAATGTTTGTAGCAATAATAAAGCACCTATTCAATCATTCAAGAAGCTAGACTGTAGGAAGACTCATCAACAATTTACATTATTTAGATGGCACAACCTGGCTTCCTGAAAGTGAGGAAGACTCAAAATGCTTACTGCAGAATACAAAAGTCCTTACCACTGGGCCAATAGACAGCATCATTATAGATGGAGAAAGGTTTGAAGTTGTCAAAGATTTCTTCTAACTTGGACAACAATTAACACCCTTGATACCAGCAGTCAAGAGATGTATTGCAGTGGGCAAGTTTGCTATTAGGGACCGCCCAGAATACTGACAAGCAGTAATATTAGTTTGAAGACTAAGGTGCACCTGATTCAGGCCATGGTCTTTTCAGTCACTTGCTACGCTGGACAGTGAATAAGGATGACAGAAGAATTGATGCCTCTGAGTGGTTTTGTTAGAGAGAGTACTTAATATCCCATGGATTGCCAAAAGAACAAAAGATATCTTGGGAAAAGTGCAGCCAGAGTGTTTTCTGACATAAAAATGGTGAAACATCATACTTTGGGCATGTTGCTAGATGAGGCTATTCCTTGGACAAGGACATCATAATTGGAGAGATTGAGGGTCAGAGAAGGAGAGGAAGACTCCCAACATGGTGGATTGACACAGTGGCTGCAGGAATGGGCTTAAGTGTATCAGATGGCAAGGATGACACTGAGGAAAGACAGGGTTCAGATCTGTTTACAGAGTCACAATGAGTGCTCTTCATCCTGAGGACACACCTTGTTTGTGGTCCACCTAGAGAATTCTTGCTTTCTGTGCAGGAGACCCTGATTTACTCATACCTCATGTGTATCCACCACTCAGTTATTAATGGGTTTCATCAGTTTCCAGACCAATACAGACTTTGAAGAAAAGCTGGTCAATCTACTTTGGAAAAATGTTGTTAGGTGCTGTGGTGAATATACTTGTTTTCTTGATGTTGGGATGTAAGCTATATTGAAGACTATTGTCTTATTTTCTTGAATAAGTACTTCAAGTCGTCTCCATTTTCTACAGGCAAGGTTGTGTCACCAGAATAATGCAGGGTTGATGAGTCTTCAGAGTGTCCAGCTTAAGTGATTTGTTTAGCATGCAGAGTGAATTTGTGCTTTATTGTTGCTACAAACATTTCATGTTTTGAGCAAATCTGCCACTGAATACTTTAGTAACAATCCCTCTAGTATCAAGTTTTGAGTCTTCCCCCAATATTGATGCCACATTTTTTGTGTTCTTTGTGCCAGCTTCTTGACTTACTTGCTATTTGTTTAGTATATAGATTGAATAGGTATGGAGAAATATACAGCCCTGACATTTCTTGATTTTAAACCATGCAGTTTTCCCTTGTTCTGTTTGGACAACTGGGCAACAGCTTCTTGGTCTACACATAGATTTCCATGAGCACAATTAAGTGTTCTAGGATTCCCATTCTTTTCAGTGTTACACAAGGTGGAGGAGAGGAGGATCTAAGAAAGAGAGAACTGGTAGCAATATGGATTGAAACAGTGTAACAGTGTGATAGAGCCTGTCAGAGATTGTGAACATGGTACAGGATAGGACAAGGTTCAGATCTTTTGTTCTTAGAGATTCTGTGAGTCATAGTTGACTCAGTAACAACACAGTCAAATGCCTTTACATAAGCATTAATACACAAATAAATATCTTCCTGCTATTCTATGTTTTCAGCCAAGATCCGTCTGACTTCAGTTATGATAGAGCTTCTCTCATGGTCTCTTCTCAATCCACCTTAAATTTCTGGTAGTTATTTGTCAATATTCTGTTCTAGCCATTTTTAAATAATCTTCAGCAAGATTTTACTTGCATGTGATAGAAATGATATTATTTGGTAATTTCTGTACCCCAGATGAGATGAATTACTACAGTAACTGGGACAATGGGGGTAGGTGTGTGAGAATTAGTGAGACTGGCTCAGGACAGCAGGCTTCACATAGGGTCACGATGAGTCACTGGCACATAACAACAACAAATACTACTCTCTTGGATCACCTTTTTCTTGGAATCAGTACAGATCTCTTCTAGTCAGTTGACCGAGTAGTTGTCTTCCTAATTTCCATACCTTTTCAACCTCTGTGCAGAACAGATTATCAGGGAGGCTGGGCTCTATGAGGAGGAATGTGGGGTCAAGATTGGTGGAAGATGTATCAACAATCTGCGATATGCAGATGACACAACCCTGCTTGCTGAAACTGAGGAGGACCTGAAGCGCTTGCTGCAGAGGGTCAAGGACTGCAGCTTCCAATATGGATTGAGGCTCAATGTCAAGAAGACAAAGATTCTCACCACTGGACCAATTGGCAGCATCAGGATGGATGGTGAAGAGATTGAGATTTTTCACAGCTTTAGTTTGCTTGGCTCCACAGTCAACACTCTTGGCACCAGTAGCCAGGAAATTAAAAGGTATCTTGCCATGGGAAAGTCTGCTGTTAAAGACCTCTCCAAAGTACTGAAGAACAACGGTGTCTCTCTGGAGACTAAGGTGCATCTGATACAGGCCATGGTCTTTGCTATCACTTGTTATGCATCAGAGAGTTGGACAATGACTAAGGAGGATAGAAGGAGAATTGATGCCTTTGAGCTGTAGTGCTGGAGAAGAGTATTGAGAATACCATGGACTGCTAGGAAAACAAACAGATTCATCCTGGAAAGGGTCAAACTGGGTGGCTCCTTGGAGGCAAGGATTCTGAAGCTCCGTCTAACATACTTTGGACGTGTTGTAAGGAGGGACCGGTCCTTGGAGAGGGACATCATGCTTGGGAAGGTGGAGGGACAGCGCAGAAGGGGAAGGCCCCCTATGAGGTGGATTGATTCAGTGACTGGGGTAATTGGGATGGGTGTATCGGAGACGGTATGATTGGCACAGGACAGAGCAGAGTTTATGGCTGTTGTACGTAGGGTCGCTATGAGTCACAAGCAACTCAGCGGCACATAACAACAGCAACAATGATAAATGGAGACGAGATTGGAATTCTCAGCAATTTCAGTTTGCCTAGATCCACAGTCAGCAGCACTGAATTGGATTAGGAAATCTGCTGCCAGGAACCTCTCCAGAGTGCTGACATGCAAAGATGTCAGTCTAGAGACTAAAGGTGCGCCAGCTCCAGACCATGGCCTTCACAGTAACTTGCAATTCATCAGAAAACTGGATAGTGAATAAGGATTCCAGAAGAAGAATTGATGCCTTTGAGTTGTGATGCTGGAGAAGAGTATTGACTATACCTTGAACTGCCAAGTAAACAAACAGATCTGTCCTGGAGAGGGTGAAACCAAGTTGGCTTCTGGAGGCTAGGATTTTGAAGCTCTGTCTCACATGCTTTAGGCATGTTTCTTGGAGAGACCAGTTCTTACAGAAGGACATCATGCTTGGAAGGACAATGCAGGAGAGGAAGACCCTGGATGAGATGGATCAGTAATTGGTGTACAGGCCTAGGTGTGTTAAGAGACAGTGAGATTTACTCAGGATAGGACAGAGTTCATAGCTATTGTACATAGAGTTGCTATGAATTGCAGGTAACTTGCTGGCATGTAGCAACAACAGCAGTTGTAAGATGTGTTCCAGTTTGAGTTGTTATAATTTATTTTAGCATCAGACGAATCAAGTATAAAATCAGGCATACCATTTTTTACTTGTTCAAAGTCCCTTTTCTACAACACTTGAATTTGAAACTTTTTGAAATCTATACTCATTGGGAAAGATTTCATCAGCTGTGATAACTGTGATTCCTTGAAACTGCTGTTTTCGTATTGGCTCCCAGAAATGGTGTGGTAGGTGACGGAATCTTTGCTATTTTTCTGTTTTGTTTTTTTTTCTGCAGCTATCCCTGAGTGCCTGTCATTATTATAATAATTCATTTATTCAACAAACATGTAGGCCATTCTAACTAAAATTGAGTGTATTGTGAATTATACAGTGAACTGGTGGAACTTATGTTCTAGTGGTAGGAGATAGTGAGCACATGAACAAGTAAATAAGCAATAATTTCATAGTAGTTAAGTACTCTGAAGAAAGTAGCAAGGATAATGTGACCAATGAGAAGAATACTAGTTTAAGTAAGATGTCAGAGGAGATT